TTTTTTTTTTTTTTCAAATCCTTATTCCTTCCAACCAAGTTGATTTTAATATTGAATTTCTATGATATATTCACCTTCGAAACGATCTTGCGTCCGTCGATGGAATCGTGTGGATTTCGTTAACAAGTCGTTTCATACGAAATAATCGATCTCACGAACTTGTGTAAAAATATTACTATGTACAAAATTAAACGATTAAATAATATCGTTAAATAATATTTGTTTTGCACGTCAATTTGAAGCTTGAATGTAGCTGAATGTAATTTGAATAGTGTTTTGTTAATTGTAAAAAAAAAAAAAAAAAGCAAATTGCGCAATTACGACGATGGATTATGATCCAACGTGGAATTTAAATCACCTTCCCCGGCTAACTGATCGAAGAAAATATAATAGGACGACGTTTCCGACGGTAAGCGGGAAATATCGCACGAGTGGATATTGCACGTGTATGTATATATATATATATATATAAAAATTTCAGAAAGTATCACAGAAGTTTGAAAAATCTGATTACTGATTGTTATGCATCGCCTGCCGATTAATTAAAAATCACAAATTAATTACGTGGTGGTACGGTCATTAGTTATGATTAATATGTTGCACGCAGCCACCACGTGTGATTTTAATTAAACTTATTACATTTCAATCCCGATATTATGGGCGAACCGTTACGTTATCGTTAAAGAATATATTTCCCTCTTTCAGTTTTTAAAATATTATTTCCAATCCGGGCATAAAACTGATCAAAACTGGGAGAAAATCACGGCCGAACTCGTTGTTCCATCGATACGTGATTTCCGGATAAACATTTCATCGGACCAATAATGATGCGCCCGACCAGTTATAGGGGGAATTAGTACGGCACGATTAGTTTATTATTCTTTTATACGAGGAAATGAGGTGCAGGTTTTGTCCGTATACACGCATTTCTACTTCTGCACGGCCTCGTTCGATCATTCATTTATATTAGGCATTTATTATTACTTCAATTACGAACGGTCGTCACACAAATGGAGAATTTTTCAATCGTCGATTGCTGTCCGATCGATGTTCGTCCTTTTTCTATATTTATATTTTTACCTTTTTTTTTTTTTTTTTTTTTTTTTCCTTTCTTTAGGTATTTATATTCGTCCCTGTTCGCAGTTACGCGGCAAAAACGCGTGCAAATTTCATCGTTCCGCCGCGATTAATTTCCAACGAAATTATC